TCCCGATATTTGTCTTGGGTGATCTGGTCACCCTAGATCTATTCCACAAAAGAGCTTGATTGTTTTTACATTTATCCTGAATAAAGGACAACTAGTAGGTCTACCAGCTTCAATAAGGCTTCCCCTTTCCAGAGCATAACTACCTATTTTCATGTTGTTTTTATAAATCTGTATCTTGTACACTCTCACAAAACCTACAACATTATTTTATTTTTACTAACTTGAAACAGGATATTGAATGCATAATTTCAGTTACACCAATGTAAATCTGTGGTAATTCATTAGAATTATTCCATATTTATCCTGGTGGCCAAATATGTTAGCAAGTTACTAGAGAAAACATTAAACTTTTTGATAATTGTTATAACAGATCTATCACAAGCCCAGAGAATTGAGATAATCATTTTTGGTTGGAAAATGTTGGTGAAAATTAAACACTTTGTGAAATTTTTTCCCCATTTTCTAATCAGCCCAACAAATAATGTTTATAGCCAAAAAACCTAAGGAGCATTCAGAAAGGGCAGCTCCAAGAATTTAGTAGAAAGAAAATCAAATGGTATTAAAGTGATGAGGAGGCTGTTTCTATAGCACTTAATTTCCAACAGATTTGGATTGAACAAGTCAAATAGAGCATATTTGCAGGTATCAGTAAAGCTATTGCTACATGGATATCTTCCAAAGCAATTGTATGTTCCATTAAATAGTTATTCCCCACCCTTGCCTAAACCAGTGGTTCGAGGCGATAAGTTGAAGATAAACATCTGTCTCTCTGACTACACTTGAAAGATTTCAGAAGAGAGCAGGATTTGTGAGGGACAGGAAAGCAGAGCAGATAGTATGCTCAGGGAAACCATGATGTATGATGACAAAGGTAAGTGTTGTTTCTTCTCCTTCTCTCTCTTCTCTTTACAAATGAGGCTGCAAGTAAGACCTGTGATCCATGATCCTGCCACTCAGATGGACAGCCCCGAGGCTGTGTCCAGGGCAGCCTTTTATACGCTTGCCCAGGAAACCCCTTAGAAAAGGCAGGAAGCCCTTCTGGGAAACCCCTTAGAAAAGGCGGGAAGCCCCTCCAGGGAAACCCCTTAGGAAAACTGGTTCTGACTGGAACTTGTTTACAACTTCCAGGAGACCTAAAAGAGCAGGAAAATGGACCTATGGTGCAAAACTCCATTTTGAAAACAATATGGATTCCTGTAGTATGAAAGTGAGCCCTACCTAACAGAGGCTGGCAGAGTCTTCCTGAACAGAGTGATCAGAATGGAAATTTGACAATACTTAAATTATTTTAATCCCGAAGTTGTTAATAATTAGAGGCCTGATTCTGCCACGGTCATTTACATTAGTTAGTACTTTATTTCATGAGTAGTGCTCATGTAGTAAGATAATTCCATGTAAGTGTGATGGCCACCATCTTGCAGAGTTAAGAGCACAAGATGCTAGAGCTTAAGCTAAAAAAACAAGGCACTGTAGCTGGAGCCTGTCACAGCTCATATGTTCTGTGGCTCGGTAGAGTAGGACCTGTAACACACACTCACCGCTGGGTTACAGAAGGGTGGGAAAATCAGGCCCCATGACTGGCTGTGTGGGTGTGCAATGGAAACAGAGGATACAAAAAGTCCCTCTCGTGTATCTACCAGCACAGCTGAAACAGCCAAGAACTTAGTCCTCAAACGCAAGGGCTGAAGGTGTGCTAGCACCATCAGTGGCAATAGAAAATCCAAAGGGGCCAGAATTAGGCGTCATGCCTTTCTGCACAGGTTGGTGGGTGTAGCCAGCCCTATACCTCTAAAAAGGAAATGCGGGAGCCATATCTGAACTCCCAGCCAGAGCCCGTATGTGCTCCACCACTAGAGGCCCTGATGCAGCAAGCCACCCCTATTCAGCAAAGCATATGCTTAACAAGCTTTTGCTTTAATCCCATTAAAGTCATTGGGTTGTAAGCACATGCTGAAAGTTAAACGTGATTATGCAATGTAGTTGTAGCTGTGTCCGCCCCAGAATATTAGAGAGACGAGGTGGGTGAGGTAATATCTTTTACTGGACCAACTTCTTACTTGTCACTCTCACCAGCAGAAGTTGCTCCAATAAAAGATATTACCTTACCCATTTTGTCTCTCTAAGCATGTGCTTAGGTGGTCTAGCTGAATCAGGGTCAATTTAAACATATGCTTACCTCACTCAGGACTCATTGAGGACTAGTTCTGGTGCGGTACCCCTCGACACCCTATATACATGGCTGTACATTCTAAAGGCAGAGTCCTTGATGTTGTGCGACACAAAGGTAGTCATTTCTAGCATAGGATTCAAAATACTAGAATTAGAAGGAAAACTGTTTGAATGCATTAATCTCTGGCCAAATATTGCATAACACTAAATCCTGTGGGGGGAACTGGCAAAGCTGATTGAAAGTGCATTTCAACTCAAATGATGTATGTGCTAAGGAATTAGACTGTGAAAACAGCTAAGATTTTTGGAGGGAATAAAAGAGGGCTTGGGAGGGTGGTATCAAGTGAAGCCAGCAGACCAAAGTGGAAACGCCTAGCCAAATTCTGCTTTCAGTCATACCAGTAACAGAATAATTCTGGATTTGCACTGGGGCACCGGAATGAGGTGCAGGGGGGCACTATTTTACCAGCCGTAAGGGTAAGCAAGGGGTGGAGGGGCGAAGAAGAGGGAGCGGGGGGTGGGGCCTTGAGGGAAGGGGAGGTGAGAGTGCGGGGCCACGGTTCAGGGACGGGTAGCCACCACACACACACTTCTGCCAAACCTGATTCACACCAGCTAAGAGCAAAATTTGACCAATATTATTGATAATATAGAACACATTATCTGAAGTTTACATTTGGTGTTCTAATCTAAACTATCTTATTCCACAACATTTTTGTCCAAAATAATGGTGTAATTTAAAAATCAGTGCAACAAAATGTGTAATTCTCTTTTCTGTTGACTTCTTCCAAGGACCGATATACAAAATATTTTTACTTTCAAAGAAAAAGGATAACTATAGCACTGCATTGTTTTTCAATTTGCTGATTAAGAGTCTCATTTTCAGATATGCCAAGTTCTCAGACCTAAAGTCAATGGGAGCTGCAGGTGCTCAGCCATCTTTGAAAAGCAGGCCTTGTGAACTCCCAGTCCAAGATTTTCAACAACTGGTAGCTAAAATTAGGCTCCTAAATCCATATTAAACAATAGGTATCCATTTTAAAAAAAACCTATCCTTATTGCAAACTCATTTTTGGAATAACTATAGCCATTCAATTTGCAGAAGTCTCTATTAAGAAACAAAAACAAAAAGAAGGAAGAAGGTTGTTTGCATTTCTAAGTGTATTTATTTCTGCAAACTGAGAGTAATTCATTTTTTCTGATTTGACTAACAGAAGATTTCATAACCAAAAAACTTCTGGTTTCTGATGTTTAGAGCATGCTGTGCTGGACATCCTGTGCAGTGAGGAATCTAACTTGTATCCGGCTTCCAATGTACTGGTGAAGTGTCTTTGAAGAAGAGTTAACTGTTTGAAGTGCAATATTAATTGAGTTAGTACCTGAAAATATGCATTTCCATCTTGAAAAAACTATTCCCATGCTTATTTCAGAACATTACAGTAATAAATGGGCTGTTTTGACTTTTGATTTGTTATTTTACTTTATTGACAGTTCAAAACTGAGTAGTTAAATCGTTTTTAATAGTTCCATTGCTATCAGATCTCTCTACACTGTCTATATACCAGTAAGTATTTCCCAAGAAGGATCACCACATTAGTCTCAGTCTTAATGACCTCTTGTAAAACAACAGATAATGAAAAGATAGTGGCATCCTGCATTGTATTGTGAACCTGTCAGATCTCAGAAGCTATCGCTGGTTCAGTCAATACTTAGACAGGACATCTCCAAGCACTGTAGAAAATAGCATTGGTATGAAGAATTTCACCTGTCTGGGTCAATATGGAACTGGTGCCCAACAATGTGTCTGTCGGGGCAGTGTGTTTCAAATGAGAGGTAAAACTGACACCTGTGTGATCAGTAAGGGTCCCATGGTGAATTTTGTAAAAGTAGGCATTTTTTAACTCCAGTGATCTAGCCAGGATCCAAATCAGCTAATTACATTTTAATCTAAGTGTTCCTGCAGTTGCAATTAGATAATGTATTCTTCATCACTTCCTACCCTAAACTGTTGTGCTATAAAACAGTTGCTGCATCCCATCTCAGAACCAGGCAAGTCACCCCTTGTCGACAACACAAGGCCGTTGTGAGACTTAAGCTTTCTACATATGAGAGGCAGGGCTGGCCCTAGCTATTTTTGCTGCCCTACGCAGCCTCTCCACGCGGGGGAGACTTGGGGGAGCGCTGGCCCCAGACCTAGGCGGGTGTGGGAGCGGGGAGCAGGCCTGCAGGGGGGGCTGTGTGGGGTCCCACCCCAGGCCTCCACGGAAGCGGGGGGACGACGACTGGCCACTTTCTGCGGGCAGTGGAGCGACCCGGCCCCAGCCTGCTCCGCTCCCCGGGCTCCCAGCCGCGCCATCGGCGAGTGCAGGGGGATGGTTCCCCCTCCCCCCGAGCCAGGGGAGCGGAGCAGGCTGGGGCCGGGTCGCTCCACTTACCCTGCAGTGAGTGCAGGGTCGGGCCTGGTTGCAATCTTCAGGGGAGCGGGGGCGGGGCCGGCGAAGAGCCGGAGCTGCGCGGGACACTAGGGAACTTGGTGCCCCACGCAGCTGCCCGTGGGTAAGGACGGCCCTGCCGGGAGGGAACCGCTAGGGCGGAGCAGCTTCCTCCTCCCCCTGCCGCAAAGGAAGCCGCCGCTACAGCCTGCTCCGCCCCTCCACGTGAGCTCCCTGCCCCGGGGCCCTGCTCTCCGCCTGGCCGCTCCAGAGAGGCGCGGAGCTGGGGAGGGCGCAGCCGGCCAGTGTCTAGGTAGCAGCAGCGCTCGGCCCTCGCCTCCTGCCCTGGGGGTGTCTCGGGCTAGACACGGGGCAAGGCCTCCCACTTCCTCCCGGGACCATGAGACTCTCCGCGGGGGCTGCCAGCCCTTTGCACGCTGCGGCGCTGCTGCTGCTCGCCGCCGTCTGTCTCTCCGCGTCCGGTAAGTCAGAGCCGCGGGTAATGGGGCGCCCAGAAAAGGCTTTGCCCTGTGTGCCTGCGCCTTGCCCCAAGTGGGGACCCGATCCGGCCCCTGGCCTCTGACCGGCGCTCCCCTCCCACATGGGTGAAGGGCCCCTGGCAGAGCAAATCACAGGGGAAACCTAGCGGGCTGGCGAGTGCTCCTTGTCGGGGCTGCCCGGACATTGGAAGTGGCCTTAGGTCACCTAGCTCAGTGTTTCTCAACCTTTTTTATACCAGGGACCGGCTTGCTGCCTTCCTAAACTGTGTCAGAGATGCCAGGGGCCGGTTGCTAAGAAATCTAGTGTATTGCCCTGGCACAGTTGCCACGCTGCTGTTCAGGGATCGCTGTCCTGAGGTCCCAGTTAAGAATTGTTTTTTAATTCCATAGCTTGGTGAGATGTAAATCCCGCTTTCATGAGAGTCCTGGGAGCTGCTGGTCATGCAGGCTTATAAAAGCATGTTTCCGTACCTCAGGGATACTAATCGGGGTGTTAGTCTCTAAGTAGAGCAGTCATCATCTTCGTTTGTTTTGCACTAGGGCTTTTTAAGATAAGGGATCAAATACAGGTCTAGCAGAAATGTGTTGTGCCTTTCAAAGACACTTGCAAAAGATACTTTTCACCCTTCTAGGATGATCTAATCCAGGGGTTCTCAAAGTGGGGGGTCAGGACCCCTCAGGGGGTCGTGAGCTATCAACTTCCACCCCAAACCCGGCTTGCCTCCAGCATGTATAATGGTGTTACATATATTTAAAAGGGTGTTTAATTTATTATGGGGATCGCACTCAGAGGCTTGCGATGTGAAAGGGGTCATCAGTAAAAAAAAGTTTGAGACCCCCTGAATCTAATCTAATCCGTAAATGGCTACTTTATGTCAGAATCACACTTTGCAATCAGGATTACAGTTTTACAGTGTGCAGAAAGGTTTGTGATCTGCAATTACTGAGCGATGGTATCATATTTATTGGCTTAGTTGTGTACATCTTATCCACCCTGTAAGTGATGACATGCCAAGCTATGTCCCAATATAAGTTTCCCTCCCTTAGGGAGGGATGTAGGGAGTGGACCAGGTTTGCCAAGTACAGAGTCTGAGAATCTGTTGTGCACACTTCCAAAATGACCCTCATTTCAAACACACAGTTTACCTTTGGTTTATCATGTTTACTGTTTGGTTACATTGTAAACTTTTTTCCTAATAAAATCTGGACCATGGCACTGAGATTGCAGAAATAATCTCATAATTTAACATGTTTATCTAGGGTAGGAATTGAAATCAAAATAAAATTTCATTAGTCATTGGATTAGTGAAGAAGCAAAATCTCAGAAAACCAGACCAAAAAATTATTATATTGGAGAGAATAGGCATCTATCTGTTTTAAGGGTGGCTTGCAAAGGAAAAGAAAATTGGTTTTGATGTATAAAAAGGCCCAAAGTATGTGGGTTTTTTTTTTTTTTTTTTTTTTTTTTTAAAGTCTGCTGCTT